TTGAACACAAGGCAGCATCTGCAGCTCTTGCATAGCTCTCTGCAGGCTGCTCAGTGCCCGCTTCCCGAATCTGACAGGTGATGGTTACATTGCCTGTCTCTGAGCACTAAAACCTTGGTCCTCGGCCCTGAAGTCACCATAAGAAATGCTCTGCACTGAAAAGTCCGAGTGGCCTCGCTGTGTGAGTATGACACAAGGGATGCAGAATAGGTCGAGTGAGCTAAGCAGTGTGTCCGTCCTGCTGGTGAAGGCTTTTTTATTGTATGCAATGTTTTAAATTAGCTGCAGAAATTCTGCCTAGCAGTAAAGCATGAAGTACAATTTCTATAAAATAAAGGTGATGGCTTGTTCCAGGCATAAATAATATTCTCAAATTACAGAGTGAGTAGTTTTCAGTTTGATGCCTGGGGCATGGGCATCAATCATGAGCCCTACCTGTGCTCTGTGTTGCTTCCTGGAGGGACTCTATAGGAGCAGCAGGCTGACCACCAAAAGTCTAGTTCCAGGGTTGGCAAAGGATGACCCGGCCCGGCCCGGCCCATACGGCCTGTTTTGTGTAGCCTACCCACTAAAAATAGCTGTTATATTTTTAAATGGTTTGGAAAAAAGCCAAAACAAGGATAATATTTTATGATACATGAAAATTATATGAAATTCAAATGTTAGTGCCCATAAAAAAGTTTTATTGGGACCCCGCCACCCTCGTTTATTATATATTCACCATGCCTGCTTAAATTGCAGAAGATTCTTGTATTTTTGAAGTGCGAATGGTTTGCTAATCAAGAGGTAAAATTCAGAGGCCATAAAGAGACTGACAGATTTGGTCTCATAAAACTTAAAACCTTCTGAATAAAGCAAAACACCATAAAATAGTTGAAAGACACCCAGGAGAGAGACGAGGAGAGAGCTGGCAGTGGAACCCAAGAGTCCTGCCACGTATGTATACTGCTTCCTGAGTCAGCCCCCACCCCCTCCGTGGGCTCAATTTCCTTACTAAAAAGAGCAGTAAAAACTCTTGGGCCTTTCTGTCCCGAGTCAAGGGTTATGCTCTCCCAGAAGGGTAAATTAGCAAAGTCATTTTGGCAAACAGTATGGAGGTTCCTCAGAAAACTAAAAATAAGAACTAGGGTGTGATCCCAGCAATCTCACCCCTGATAAATACCCAAAGGAATGGAAATTAGCATGCCAAAGAGATTTTTGTACCTCCCCGCTCACTGCAGCTTTAATTCGAAGACAAGAAACAAGAAGCAAGTTAGGTGTCCATCAGCAGATGAACAGGTGAAAGAAACACAGAGTTTCAGTCTCATAATACCATTCAGTCCTTAAAATGAAGAGCCTGTCTCTCTCCTGATGACATAGGTGGAATCGGAGAACATCATTCCAGCGCAATAAGCCAGATAGATGAAAACTATGCTCTCACTGATATAAGGAACCTAAAAAAGTTCATCTCATAGAAACAGAGAGTAGAAAGGAAGCTTCCAGAGACTGGGGGAAGGGAGGGGGGAAGGAGCAGGAAATGTGCCAGATATGGTGGTATATGCCTGTTATCTCAGCACTTGGGAGGCTGAGGCAAGAGGATCAACTTGTGAGTTTGAGGCCAGCCTGCACTACATAGTATGACCCTGTCTCAGAAAAAAAAAAAAAAAAATAGGTACAAAATTCCAGTAGACAAAAAGAATACATTTTAGTAATCTATTGTACTGCATGATAATCACAGTTAATTATGTATAGTATATTTCAAAATTGATAAAAAGAATAGACTTTTAACATTCTTGCCATAAGAAAATAAATCGGTGAGGTGATTGAGTCCTTCTACAGTGTATTTAAAGATCAAAACATCATCACTTGGCACCTCATACACATATACAATAGTTGTTGATTGAAGTTTTAAAAGATTATTTTTTTTCTCCTTGGGATTGAACCAGGACCTTTGTGCAGAACTAAATTCCCAGACCTTTTTTTCATTTTTTTATTTTTGACACAGAGTCTAGCTAAGTTTCTAAATTGCCCAAAATGTGTGATCTTCCTGCTTCAGCCTTCTGGAGTGCTGGGATTACAGGTATGTCCCAACACGACTAGTTTAAAGACTGCTGTTTAAAGATATTTTTTTTTCTTTGAAACTAACCCCCAAAGGAAATTCATCTTGAAAGTCTCTTATTAAAGTGTAACACTACGGACTGTATTTACAAGACATAAAATTCTAGCAACCCTCCTTCAGAGACCTTTATTGGCAGGGAACACTTCTGCTCTTGCTGCTTCAAGGCATTTCTTCTGGAAACTGAGAGAGTGTGGCTCAGCAACTGGGATTGGGGGATTGGTTTGCGGTATGTTGAAAGACAACCCAGACAACCTGAATGAGGCTAAGCTGCTCACCAGACCATCTTTCCCATGGCGTTTATAAAATGTGTTGCTACTGAAGAAACTGAGGTTGAGAGTCAAGAAACTTGCCCCAGGTTTCATTCAAACGATCAGTTTTCCACTACTGGGTTTCGTCAGGGACCTCCTGCTAAAATCCCAGTTCCATGTGGCTGGGGTGTAGCTCAGTAGTAGAGGGCCCGCCATGCCTGAGTTCCTGGGTTTGAACCCCTGCGTTGCGTCAAGAAAAGAAAATGCAGCCCCAGGTCCGACCACAGCCGGACTGGATCAGAACCTCTGAGTACAGAGTTTATAAAGAATCCTCAAGGGGAATTTCTTTTGCACTGTAGTCGACCCCTTAATACCAGCAGAGCTGTGACACACACATTATTGTCACAGCCAACGCCTTTGGCAAGTTCTGGTTCTGTATGTTGACTTGAAAATGAACTGATGTAAACAAAAAGCCTAAAAAGCAACACTGGCACTGCCTTGGCTGCCCGCACACAAAAACACCTGTGTCTGCCTGAATAGTTTAACCTGAGGATTCCAGCGATGTCTTTGCTCCTGCCTCATACTGTAATCACCTGAGGAGTGGTAAAAACAGCTTCTGGGACCTGCCCACAGGGGTTCTGACTTCATTGATTTGATGCCAGGACTTTATCAAATATCTCCCCAGTTGCAGCTAAAGTGTAGCCAGGGTAGAGAACCTCCGCTTCAAACAATGGGAGGTACTAATCAAGGGTAGCTTTTGTTTTTCTTTGTACTGTTGCTAAATTGTTGCTTTTAGAGAAAGAGAACAGTTTGTAAAGTTGCTTTTTTCTATGTGGCCCCAGAGAGAGTGGCCCCTGGACCACCCCATATGCAAAGCATTCGAAATGCAAATTAGAGTGCCAGACCTACCAATCAGAAACGCTAGGGGCGGGACCGGTAACTTTAAATACGGCGAGTGGGTGGGGTGGGGGGCGGCAGGGGGACTGAGGTGTGAAGTTGAGTTTGACAACCAGCCTCTGGAGAAGTCTCATGCCTGAGAATTGTGTCACTAAGCAAACTGAAGAGGGGCAGGGACGGTGACTAGGTATTATCTGCTCAAGAGTTTGCTGGATTCACAGTCAAGGAGAGAAGGTATTTTTGGGCACAGCCTCCTGGTTCTCAGCTTCCTGGGGGTCCAAGGGTAACTAGGTTTAACCCGTTTTCCTGACTGTCAGGCAGGTCTTGCTTGGTGTAGTGAGGGGTTATTTGCTTTCAGGTCATCGGGTGCTGCTGGCAAGTTGGACTTGTCCAGTCAGAACGGAACACGCTGCAACCTGAACTTGCCAAAAATCTTTTGGTGCCATTTTAGAGAAAGAAGAAAAGGATGGTTTGGGTCTTGATGTGTTTTTTTTTTTTTTTTAATCCCACTGTTATCTATTTCTAAGCTGAGTTGTCTCTAGGAAGGAAAACACCCCTGTTGACCCCAGTCCCTGAAGTGAGTTAACCATTTCCTAGCTCGCAGGGTGAGCCACATGGGCCTAACCTGGCCAATGCACCAAGTACAAACACATGGCTCAGAGATCTAAGTGGGACCATAATGGGCCAGGGTTTTGCCCTGTGATGGTTTTGCAGTCAGAGGCAGTCTTTTATTTCCCCCTATTCTTATGGAGTTTAAAACTTCTATGCTGTAAAAAATTTTGATTCTGGAGCCATAATTAACCATTATTTGCTAGTCATTCTTGGTGCATGAGAAAGCTATTTCCCCTGCTCAGTAATGACGGATCGAAGGGTGAACCCAACAAGTGTATACTGTTTTGAGTCTCTTGGAAGCATGCTGTTGAAACTGTTTCTCAAATATGCCAACCTGCTAGGTGGAGCTGACTTCACATTTTCATCTCTAAGCCCAGGATAGAATGCTGGATAAACAAACCATTACACCAATGAGACTCCTTTCCAAAAACAGTTTCAAAGGCTGGGTGTGGCTTGGTGGTGGAGAGCCTGCCTAGCCTACAAGGCCTGGCTTCCATACCCATCACCACCAAAACACATCCACCTCTAAAATTATATGGAGCTGCAGGGTGGGAGGCCCAGGGCTTGGCATTCTGCTCCCATATGCCCAGGGAAGGAGGAACCTGGCCCAGGGGCATCTTTCCCTCAGGCAGCCAGGCCATGCCCTAGCTGCCTGCACCCCCTTTTATAACTCAGGCAGAGAAGGGGTAGGTGTTCCTGGTGGGTAGCCACCACTGATGGGGCAGAAGATTCAGGAAAGTTGGTGCCCATGAGGGGCAGTAAGGAGCTGCCAAGGAAGTTGTTGCAGAATCTCTACATGCTCAGCTTTGTTTACTCTCCAGGAGCCCTCAGAGCCCCTTACACTCTTTGTCCAGGGGTCCTGCTGCTTTTCAGGACCTGCCTCCCAATAAATGCAGAGAAATAGCCCCAGAGAAGGTTTGTCAGGTAAAATACAAGAAGCCTCCCACCGGCTTGCCAGGATGACTATATCACAACTATTTTATCGGCCATAATTCACTAGCTGCTTATTTCACTGGGCAGCCTGCATTTTCTCCCCCACTCCAACCCCACCCCCCAGTGTGGTCTATGGTGAGAAAGCACAGGGCAGGTGGGGACACTGCAGGGCCCTGGTGACAGCCTGGCAGGAAGACAAGCCACCCACTCACCATATCGGCACCGGTACTGACAGATCCCATTCTTCCCTCCCAGCAGCTCCATGAAGGAATCGAAGTAGCCGTTGACGGATTCGAAGCTGCCCCGCAGGTGCCTGAGACCCCAGTCAGAGTAAGACTCCTCAGCTTCAGGGCCAGCGTCGCTCTGAGCCAGGGCTCCCCCCACGCTGAGCCACAAGACCAAGAAGCTGGTGGCCAGCTTCATCCTGCAGACAGACAGGTCCCGAGTGTTGTCCTCAGAGCCCAGCCAGCGTCCCAGGAATCCAGGGGTACAGCCCAGCCGTGGGCCGGATGTCAGGCGGCACCCCGCACGAGATTATCCGGAACACTCAATCTGTGTTCCCCAGAGGTGGACTTTAAACACAGCTATGGAGGCTGAGATGAGATCAGGGCAATTAGAGGGCAAAGGTGAGGCCGTGGGAGGGCCTGTCCAGGGATGGCGCAGAGGGAGAACTCTTGCAAGTGGATTCCATGGCCAGAGCGGGAGACATTGGCTGGCTCCTAGGAGGCAGGGCAAGGGACCCTGAGAATTCTGGTTTTGTCTGATTTTTGAGACAAGGTCTCACTGTGTATCCAGGCTGGCTTCAGACTTAAAGCAATCCTCCTTGAGTCCTGGGATTACAGATGTGCCCCCCTGTCCACCCAGTTTGAGTCCAAGGAATTCTGCCCTCACAGTTTGTGAAACTATCCATCGGGTCCCACAAGGCCAGCCTCTTGTCAGGAGAGCTTTCTCAAGGTCTTACAGCCCTCAGCCAGTCCCCTACCTCCACTCTCTGGGGGGATTCAGGAGGGAGTATAAAGGGCTGGGGTGGGATCCCAGGGTCACCCTGCCAAGAGTCAGGATAAGATCTGAGGGCATTTGTGCTAGGTACATGTTAGGTAGGAGTTCAGGTCAGAGCTCCAGCTTTTGGTTGGTCCCTCCTTGGCTCAGACTCAAATCCTCTACTCCAGCAAAGGTCCTGAATGTAGTCCCAGGGCTGGGGCATTTTGGGCTCTGTTTGCAGCGGTAGCTGTGCAGTCAGCCTGGTCAGATCACAAGACGCTGAGAGCTAAGAACGGGGACGGTTCTGGGGCACTCAGCTCTCTTGTGGATTTTCTTTGCAGTGTTGACCAGAAAGACTGAGGTTGGAGGCTGTAAGACTGTTGCCTGAAATCTAGGGTTTTGGCATCACTTGCAGTTTGTAGTTGCTTATTGTCATATGAGGAAATAGTACCTATGAAATCAGTGGCCTGTAAAAAACAATACCTCTTCTCACATAGTTAAAAAGCTCCTTAGAAAATAACAGAGCAATTACTTTGCTTATTTTTCGATAAGGAATCTGTCTAAAGCCTGATTCTGGGAGGGGCAATGGTTAAAAAAAGCTTCATAGTTTAAAAAAAGGGAAAACTATGATGTTAACAGTGTCATTCAGTATTTTAAAGCATGTATACTTTTTCGATCTACTTTCTCATGTATGTATTAGACATCATGTAATTAAAATAGTTCAATGAAAAGGATTCTTAACACCTGCTCTCCAATAACTTTTAAAATAAAATAGAACAGCCACCGACAAATCACAACAGCTGTATGCAGACAATATTGATTTTCAGAAAAGATAGGGATGGAAATCATTCAGAAAATCCAGGATATCTTATGCCATAGCTATGATATAGAAAGTGCTCACCAATAATCATGATTGTACAACAGATGCAATCCAGACATGATCTTTAACAAACCAATAAAGCTCTGTTCCTATATTTCCTCACATGCTCTTTCTTAGCATCTTAGCAGCTTCCAAAAATTCTTTAATTGATCAGTTACATTGATCAAACGGTTGATTCTGCTGGAAGCTGTGTTTTAAATGTGTAGGTTTGACTCACTAATAAAGGATCTTTTGCAGGTCATTGCAAGGGGCCAAGGAAACTAAAACACTACAAGACCATATCACAGACCATAAGTCTGCTTGACTAAAAATCACTGGAAATGCCAGACATCCTTCCCAGTGAAACTGGAATTAATGGAGCCATCACTCTGCCTGCCTCTGCAGTAAATATCTTGGAAGACAGAAACACGTACAAACTATGTAGTAAAGAAGCTTACTGCTGGCCAGAAGTATCAGAAGTGATACACATCAAACAATCACAGGGCCAAGAGTAACAGTGATAATTAGTTGTTCCCCATGATTCAGAAGTGTGTATGTAACCCTTGAGAAAATATGTACACCCTTATGAGACTATATATCCAAAAGTTTCAAAGGAAACATCACTTCTGAAGAGTTTGTTTGAAAATAATCTTAAGTATTTAACTTCAAATGAGTGTGTTTCATTGTCACCGGAGGCACTGTTGGAAGTAAATAGTGCTTAGAGGTGAAAAGAGTGCACTGGTAACTATTGCTGGCCCTTTGGTACAGCTGTCCTGCCTGCATCATCTGTGATGGACAGGTCTCCTAAGACTCAGGTCCAAATGACTCTCTTCTGCATCAAAACAAACAAACTGTACAACTGGATATGGAGGCAATATCCAAAAATGTCAGCATATTTCCCCCACTAACAGACAGTACAGGGATAATACATATTTTAAAGGTATTTGTCCTTTCAGGAACGCTCTGTTTATCTACATAACAGGCTTGGAGAATGTGCCTACAACACACAGGTACAGGTACTCCTCGTTTAACCATCAAGTTCGGCTCCCACAAGCAGGTCATTAAATGGTCACTAAATGAGAAACTGTATATATATGTGTACACTACACTATTCAGGACAGAGAAATGGTCAAAGGAAGCTCCAACTTAATGACTTTGCTTTTATTTGCATGACTCTTACGTGGATATTGTAATGTATAATAAAAACTACAATATTGTGCTGTACAATACAATCAGCAAAAATTACAGTACTATCTAAACAAGGTGTCCTACACAAAAACATTGAGGCTGTATCCACAAGATGTGCAGAATTACACCAAAAAGAGGCATAAGTCTGAGGAGTGGGTATGAACAATTGTTTAAAAAGTAGGTTGTTAAACAAGAAATATCTGTTCACCCATTTGCATCATTTCTATGAAGCAGGGTAAATATCATTTCCATCTGATGGAGTTACAGTGGTTAAAAGATCTGGTCAAACCTGGGGCCAGCTACATGATTTGTGAGACCCAGCAAGCCTGTAATCCCAGTACTCCATGAGGCTGAGACAAGAGGATGGGAAACAGACCCAACCTAGGAAACGAGGGAGAGCAGGTCTCAAAATATAAATAAATAAAAGAGGTTGGGATGTATCTTAGTGTAAGGTTCTGGCTCAACCCTCAGTGTCCCTAAAAAAGAAAAAACAAAGAAAAGAAAGAAAAAAGAATTCCAATGGCCCCTATATACCCACCTTCTCAGGAGATTGAGGCCTCAGGAGCATGAGTTCAAGGCCAACCTGAGCAACTTAGTGAGACCCTGGCTTAAAAATAAAAACCATGGGGGCTGGGGATTTAGTTCAGCGGCATAAGTGCCTGCCTTGCAAGCAGGTGGTCGTGAGTTCGATCCCTGGTGCCGCAAAAAATAAAAATAAAAAATAAAAACCACGCTGGAAACATAGTTCAGTGCTTCCAGAGTTCAACCCTCAGAACTGCTGTGCACACACACAGAAGGCACAGCTCATTTTCAAAAAGGAGATAAAAAGTAACATTAAAGAGAATCCCTTTTCCTTTAAAAATATCTTATTTGCAAACAAAATTTTAAAATATTTTGATGCCATATTTTCTATAACATGGTACTTTACTGATATGCAATACCTTTTTCCTTCATAAGATTTTTGACTGTTGGAAAATTCATTTATTAGGTCACCAAAGTGTATGCTTTGAGGCACGTTGGGCACAGTCAGCGTAACTGAAAGCAATTCAGGTGCTCTTGCTAAACACGAGATGGCAAGGAAGATGTGATTTTTTATTTTGAGAAGAGTCCTTTGATGTAACTATTGGTGAAACTAAGGGTGGTTTTTCCATATTTCTAATTACCTACAATTCTTGGTTTGATAAAATAAACACAGTTACCGTTTTAACTAGTTTCAAGCATGGTGTGCAGAAGCTTCAGCGCATTCATATGTGGGTGCAGCCAGCCCTGCTGTCCATGTCTTCATCCTAAACTGAAACTGGGGGCCCACAAAACGATCATCCCTCCTCTCTGTCTTCTCCCAAGTCTCTGGCGTTGCTGTGCTTCCTGTCCCTGTTCTACCCATTCTCGTTTCTTTATAGAAATGGGATCGTGCAACCTGTGACCTTTCACACCCACTTAGTTCGCTAAATATCATGTTTTCCAGTTCATCCACGCGACATTTATCAATACTTCATGACTGCGGGTAAGGTGCTGTGATTCTGGGTGTAGAGATTTCTGCTGGGAGTACTGCTTCCCAATTCCTTGGTGTGTATACCTAGGATCTGCCTTGCAGGGTCAGATGGGAATTCTTGTTTTTTGGTCTTTTTAAGACAGGACTTCACTATGCACTTCAGACTGGCCTTGAGCTCACTTTGTAGCCCAGGCTGGTCTTTAACTCACAACGATCCTCCTGTCTCGGCCTCTCAGATGATAGCTCTGTGTTTGACTTTTTGAAGAAACGTCCTGCAGCTTTCCTTGCTCCATTTATATTTCTATCAGTAAGCTCTGATTTCTTCACATCTTTATTTACACTTGAATGCTTTTGATTTGTTCAGCAATGACAGCCATCCTAATGGGTGTGAGGTGTAGCTCACGTTTTTGATGTGCAGTTTCCAAAAATTAATGACTCAGGGTGTTTTTCATGTGTTTATTGTTCATTTGGGTGACTTTGAAGATAAACATTTAGCCATTCCTTTGCTCCTCCCCATTTTTGTGGTGCCCAGGACCTCCCAAGTGCTAGAGAAGCATCCTGACATTAAGCCACAGACCTGGCCCTACTTTTGCTTTTTTTTCTTTTTTCTTTTTTTGTCTTTTTGAGACAGTTTCACTGTGCAATTCAGGCTGGACTTGAACTCACAATAATCCTCTTGCCTCATCCTCCCAGGTGCTGGGATTGCAGCTGTGTGCCGCTTCCCCTACCCCCAGCTACTTTTGCATTTTTAATTGTCATTTGTTGTTTACTTTTAGAAGTTCTTTACCTAGGATTAGGGTTGCCTTTGCACTCCTGGTTGTGTTTGATACTCAGAAGCTTTACATTTGGTTGAAATCCAGCTTGGTAATTTTTTCTTCTATCCTCCATACTTTTTTTTTTGTCTTTTTCA